CCACCACCTCCCCCTTCACTGCTGACCTTGCCATCTCCACCTCCTCTTCTACCTCCTTCTAACCCTCCTCCCCTTTCCTGCTGACATTACCACCTCCAGCTCTCTCTTCTTCCTCCCGACGTGTACCACCACCTCTTCCATCACTTGCTGACACCACCACCTCCTCTTCCCTTACTTGCTGACACCACCACCAAACTACTCCCTCACCTGCTAACAACACCCTTTCCAAACGCCTTTCCTCCTCCCTCCCTCCCACACACACACACACACACACACACACACACTGTACAGTCACCCAAAAAAGTCCTGTCGCTTCTCATCCTGAACCATGAACCCCAAGATTTAGACTTTTGAATCCGAAGCCTTTATGGACAGAATAATGAATCGGTGTCTACTGCTTCGGGTTCACGAGTCTCAATCTCGGTGTTCATGGTTCAGGATGAGAGGCAACAGGATTTTTTTGGGTGATTGTACTTAAAATGACACCTCTTGATTTTTTGTAACTATAATCGCTTTAAATTATTTTCTGTTAACTATAGTTTAAAACTGTTGACCCATAAAATATGAACTATTGTAACAATAAAAATAATAGTTTTTCTTTCCTGCCGTCAGCAGACGTTACTTCACAGCTGGTTGACTAATGATGAACGACAACGTGAGAATGGTAATATGTAAGAATAGCAACTTTTAAGAATGGTATCACATAAGAATGACGATATGTAAGAATGGTAACATGTGAAAGAGTATTAGGTAACCGTGTTTACGAGTATTTACTAGGTGGACACTTAACACAATGGTTCATTCTGGTGTATCAGTGTCTGGCTCAGTCTGGTTAAGTAGGTCTCATACTGGATTATTGTGTCCTTAATATATGAAGCTATTGTAATTAGTCAAGGGAAATAAGAAGACTGGTTTGGGTTTGGTTAGGTTAAGTTAGGTTGGATAAACTTGACCTAACTTAACCGGTTGGTTCTGTCTTCAAGATTTCAAGAAAGTTTAACTATTCCTAAAGTTATCAATAAACACATTTACAATTGAATAAAAATCTATATTTTGTATTTTATCAGTAGTGATAAAAAAAAATACCAACTGTCTTGTATCTAATTAATGAACACAATCAGGCTTTCGATATGCAGCTAAAAATTGATCGACGCGTGGAAGAGTCTAATAAATCACATATAAATGACATTGTGAGTATTATGAGGTGCACATGAACTCCCTGCCTCGCCCCAGCACCAGAATAACCTTTGATAATGACTGTATTCTGTTGGGTGTCAGGCTTCAGGGTGATATTTTAGCACTAGTGCCAGGTGTTTTTTTTACAAGACTTGTGATGCGCTTCTTCTGCTTCTTCTTCTCCTTTTTCTTTTTCTTTACTTCTTCTCCTCCTCCTCCTATCTTATTGATTGGCATTTCCTCTTCCTTATTTCCTCTTCTTTCTTTCTTTTGGTTCCTTCTTTTCCTTCTTACTTCTTGTTTCCTTTCCTCTTCTTCCCTTCTTACTTCTTTTTCCTTATTGCCTTCTTTCTTCTTGTTTCCTTTTTCCTTCTTGTTTTCTTCTTCTTGTTTGTTTCCTTTCTTTCTTGTTGCCTTCTTTCCTTTTTTCCTTCTTTCTTCTTGTTTCCTTTTTTCTTTCTTGTTGCCTTCTTTCTTCTTGTTTCCTTCTTTACTTTTTGTTCTTCTTTCTTCTCGTTTCCTTCTTTCCTTCTCTCCTTGTTTCATTTTCTCTTCTTTTTCTTATTTCTTTTCCTTCTTTTTCTTCCTTCCTACTTATTTCATTTCATCTTCTTTCTTTTATCCATCTAGGGGTTTGTAGTTTACAACTTCTATGCATTTGAGATTTTATATTTCATAATTTTAATCCGGGTAAATAATGACGCCCCCATCAGGCACCAAAACCAGGTCCAGAATTTACGTCCGGCCACTCTGAGGCTTTCAGCTCCTCCTTGGACTCTAATATGGGTAATATTTTACTCCAACAGCCTTCAATTTTTGCCCATATCGCTCCTTGTCCGCGGCAGGAAGTGATTCACTTTTAGTTCAAATCCACAATTCAGTTCATAATTTATAACGCATTCATCGTTGTTCGTATATTGTGCTTTGTACGCCTCTTATCATTGGCTGTACGGGTGTGACGTCATTACTAAAGTATCCTATGGTAGTACAGTAGTTTAAAATTTACTCACCTGGAAAGAAAATAGATGTGCTTACATGTCAACAATTTGGTAATCGGATGCAGATGGAGAGATTATGACAGACAGGTAAGAATTGTCCAGAATTGTCCACACGAAAGCAATCATAAACTTAAATGTTATTTAAAAATTTCTAAACTATGAACTAGACTAATTTATATAAACTAGATATATTTACCAGGTTCTTTGTCAAACCTCAGGAGCTTCATGGGGTAGTAACGTTTGTGGCGCCTCTTTAATTATTTAATATTTATATTTTATTAATAGACAAGTAAGCGAACAGCATCCGGGAATGAGTTTGTTAAAATGCACAGCAGCGTATACAGAAAACCTGACTAATTAACGGTGAAATTAACATCCAGCTGTACAGCATGATCGAGAAATAACTGACACATTTTAAACTTATGTAAAATTCTGCCTCTGTTATCATACATCATACATAACATATACATCATACATAATATACATGCACCATGCAGGTATATAAAACATACTATACATCAAACATATAACACAACATAGATGCCATACTTCTCTTCTACCTTATACATCAAGATCTAGATACATATTCTTTTCCATCAACCTGTTTTTAAATGAATCATATTTACTTACGTCAAATTATTGCGTCAAATGCTAACAATATTGTTTTGTTCCGGAACGAGAATGAAATCCACTTGTGACTGAAGGCATCCACTTACCACAATTGATATTCAGTTGGCCTTCAGGCCGATGGAACTCTCTTTTATTTCTCTCTTCCTAAGTCGAGCATTCGATATAACAAGAGTAATATTTATCATCGTGTTATGGATACACACAGGCAGTATCTACTGTCCTCCAGTTGTTCCTTTATCCTAAGTTGGAATTAGGGTGTAACAGGATCAGTTCAAGTCTAATTTTTATTCTGCTGGGCCAGGTCGGTCATACACTCGCCACTAAACAATATATTTAAAGTGTAAACTGCATGTGAGTGTGCATTACCACGACCTGTGTTTGTTAACTCTTGTTGTGAAAGTGTTTGGTCAAGCAGACGCTAAACATACTTTGTTGAGGAAACAGATGTAGCTTATTATGGTGGCTACGGAACAATAAGTCATCGTACTCCGAGTTTACGTCACCGTATTCCAGGGGCTATAAGTCGTCGTAATCCAGGGATTAAGTCATCTTATTTAAGGGGTTAAGTCATCGTACCCCAGGGGTACCTTGCCTTAACCGTGGGAGTTAAGGCATGGTACTCGAGAGGTTAGTCATCGTACTCCACGGGATAATTCATCGTATGTCAGGGGTTATCATCGTATGTCAGGGGTTACTTGTATTTCAGGAGTTAAGTAATCGTACCAAATAGCTTTAATAATCGTACTCAAGGATTAAGCAAACACACACTAGGGCTTAAATCACTGTACACTCGAGTGGTTAAGCTCACAAGTGGAAAGTGTGAAAAGTACGAATTCCCTATTTTCAGGCATATTAATCTGTATAATATAGTCACCATTTTGAGGAAAAGTTATTCGTAAGCTCCTTTTACACTTCACAATCTCGATCAGTCTCGGGTACTGAGGTCGTCGGAAAAATAAAGTGAGAGTAGCTTCTCTGATCCAGCAAGGTTTGATTGTATACTGAAATCTGTTATCTGTTTTCGTTCTCATCCTGTTTAGCTGTTATTTTTTATTTGTGGGATTCAGTTTATTATGGAATACATTTCTCTTCATTATTCACTGTTGGGTAAATGGTAGTGAATGTTGATTACATAAATCCTTCTTTCTGATGTATACCAAAACCACCACCTGGACACATCATCAATGTATTACTGGTTTAGTTCCTATACATAATATTTTGGTGTGCTAACTCACCACTGATGTGAATTCTTTAAGTACAATATATCATTTAGAGTTCGTTGTGTAGCTGTGTTTCATGGCAGTGTACAGTATATGTCATAATCTGTATAATGGTGTAATGGTCAGCATGCTCGCCTAAAAGCGAGTGGACCCGGGTTCGATCCCCGGGCAGGATGAAACTATGGGCAAGTTTCTTTACGCCATTTACCTCTGTCTACCCAGCAGTAATTGGGAACCTGGATGTTAATCGATTTGCGGATCGTGTTCCGGGGTAATGGTTCGCCAGTGCAGTTGGCGAGTTGTCCGGTCTTCTCGGATTATTCCTTGACACTGGGTCATACAGCTCGTTAACTTAGGGTGTGGTTGCTGAGTTGGCGACAGTTTCTGCACATTAAACAAATTCACGCCTAGGTGGCCCTTGGGTCGGCCATCCTCGTTACACGAGGGGCAACGATTATTACATGGTTTTCCGCAGTAAAACTTTCACTCATGCAATAATTAAAATAACCAAAAGGAAAAAAGGAAAGAGATCTTGTCGTGTTAGACCAATGTACAGTACAAGTTTGCTGAGGTTCAAATTAATCGATTCAGAATTTAAGAACTGACAAGAAATACAAGTAAAACATTGCCTCCCTCTTTTTAAAGAGGCATAATTAACTTAGGTGTTCTTGAATATTATCCATCCCAACACATTTTACCAGAAGATTAACCACCCTTACGCTACCTGGGAGGGGGATAGGTTAGGTTAGGTTAGGTTAGGTTAGGTTAGGTTAGGTTAGGTTAGCATTTGGCTTGGTCATGTTAGCAATAGGTTAGGTTCAGTTAGGCTAGGTTTGGTTAGGTTAGGTTAGGTTAGGCCAGGTTGTTGTCAGATGCTCGAACTTTTGATGTCTGATAATTTATCAAATTAGTAGATGTTAAGTATTTTAACATATTATTATTTTGAGGTATTTTAAGTGATGTTATTGTCGGGCAGGTAACTACAGCTGTCTAGTGGCGGAGTTCCACATGCGTCGCGCCATCGGCTTCCACCTAGTACAGAGTTACCTGCCCACCATCCTCATCGTGGTCATCTCGTGGGTCTCCTTCTGGATGGATGTTGACTCCGTGCCCGGCCGAACTACCTTGGGCGTCACCACTCTCCTCACTGTCTCTTCCAAGTCCTCAGGTAAGTCGCCACTCTCCTCACTGTCTCGTCCAGATGACACCACTCTCCTCACTGTCTCCTCCAGATGTCACCACTCTCCTCACTGTCTCCTCCAAGTGACACCCACGTGAAGGATGTATAATGTGACACCCACGCGAAGGATGTATGATGTGACACCCACGTGAAGGATGTATACTGTGACTCCCACGTGAAGGATGTATAACTTGACACTCACGTGAAGGATGTATAATGTGACACCCACGTGAAGGATGTATAACTTGACACCCACGTGAAGGATGTATAATGTGACACCCACGTGAAGGATGTATAACTTGACACTCACGTGAAGGATGTATAATGTGACACCCACGTGAAGGATGTATAACTTGACACCCACGTGAAAAATGTATGACGTCATACCCACGTGAAGTATACATAATGTAATATCCGCGTGAAAGTCTTGGTTTAGCACCACCAGGAGCGAGAGAGAGAACCACACCTCCCTCCCCTCATCACTAGTTGTTCTTGTGTGTCTTGCCCCTGAGGTGAAGTGCTCAGTGTGCAGGTAAAAGGCTTAGATTCCAGTGTGTGTGTGTGCACGCGCGCGTACGTACGTGTGTGTGCGTGTGCACGCGCTCGCTCTTATAGCTGTATTAACATACGTCTTTGAGAGCCCAAGCTTATGTATCTAATAATGTTGAATAAGAAGGCAATGATACTTAACACTCTTCTTATAAGAAAATTTCTAATTAATGTCGAGTATTATCTGAAGTCGAACATATTCATATTATACAATGATGTTAATAATAACTAAGAACTTCTAATGATATTTTGTAAGATTATTGTTGTTTAAAAGTATTTCTGAACTTCAACAACGAATGTCTTTAAGCGCATACACTAAGTCATTTGTTCTTAAAGACTCTTGAGTTAGGTTTTGTGAAGGTTGTTGTTAGCATTATGCTTAAGTTGTGTTTATTGTCCTGCAGGAATCCAGGGGGGGCTACCTCAAGTGTCCTATGTGAAGGCCATTGACGTCTGGATGGGAGCCTGTACAGGTATGTTCATTCCCTGACCAGCTACCTTTCTTCACCAGGTACTATACCTTCCCTCACCAGGCTCTTTTCCCCCACCAGCTACTTTCCCCCACCAGCTACTTTCCCCCATCAGGTTCCTTCCCTCACCATGTACTTTCCCTCACTATGTATCTTAATATAACTCTCAAGCGTCATGAATCCATCCAACATTTTCCTAAATATACAGTACAAGGAAATAGAATGAATCACGTGTTGTTATATATTAATAATAGATATATTACAGTTTGATGGATCACTGTATCGTATCTAAAGTGACAGAAACTAGAAACGTTATATATATTAAAAAAAACCATTCAGCTTTGAGACTGATTACAAAAAATTATATCCATAAACACGACAAGTTTATAATATAGATAAATTGGTTGTCTTAACTTGAATCAATATGAAGTTTATTACAACATCAGTGGTCTGAACTAAAGTGGATTGGTCAGGACTGGCTTGAACTGGTTAGGACTGGTGAATTGGTCTGGACTGGTCTGTACTGGTCAGGAATTTAAGTATTGAAGTTCCTTGTACCATATATCTAGTGTGTACTGACCTAAAACACAGTAGGTCTGGGAGACTCACGTATTCCACACCTACTCCGCACATAGTATTACACCTACTCCGTCACATATTACTACACCTACTCCGTCATATATTACTACACTTACTCCGTCACAAAGTATTACACTTACTCCGTCACGTAGTATTACACCTACTCCGTCACTTAGTATTACACCTCCGTCACATAGTATTACACCTACTCCGTCACATAGTATCACACCTACTCCGTCACATAGTATTACACCTACTCTGTCACGTAGTATTACACCTGCTCCGCCATATAGTATTACGCCTATTCCGTCACGTAGTATTACACCTACTCCGTCACATATTACTACACTTACTCCGTCACAAAGTATTACACTTACTCCGTCACGTAGTATTACACCTACTCCTGCACATAGTATTATACCTACTCCGTCACATATTACTACACCTACTCCGTCATATATTACTACACTTACTCCGTCACAAAGTATTACACTTACTCACACGTAGTATTACACCTACTCCGTCACTTAGTATTACACTCAGTATTACACCTACTCCGTCACATAGTATTACACCTACTCCGTCACATAGTATTACACCTACTCTGTCACGTAGTATTACACCTACCCGTCACATAGTATTACACCTACTCCGTCACATAGTATTACACCTACTCCGTCACATATTACTACACCTACTCCGTCACATATTACTACACCTACTGCGTCACGTAGTATTGCACCTACTCCGTCACGTAGTATTACACCTACTCCGTCACGTAGTATTACACCTACTCCGTCACATAGTATTACACTTACTCTGTCACATATTACTACACCTACTCCGTCACGTAGTATTACACCTACTCCGTCACATATTACTACACCAACTCCGTCACGTAGTATTACACCTGCTCCGCCATATAGTATTAAACCTACTCCGTAACATTACACCTGCTCCACCATATAGTATTACACCTACTCCGTTACATTACACCTGCTCCGCCATATAGTATTACACCTACTCCGTTACATTACACCTGCTCCGCCATATAGTATTACACCTACTCCATTACATTACACCTGCTCCGCCATATAGCATTACACCTCCTCCGCCATATAGCATTACACCTACTCCGTTACATTACACCTCCTCCGCCATATAGCATTACACCTCCTCCGCCATATAGCATTACACCTACACTACGTTACATTACACCTGCTCCGCCATAGCATTACACCCTCCGCATATAGCATTACACCTGGTTACATTACACCTGCTCCGCCATATAGCATTATATCTACCTTACATTACACTTGCTCCGCCATATAGCATTATATCTACCCGTTACATTACACTGCTCCGCCATAGCATTATATCTACCCGTTACATTACACCTGCTCCGCCATATAGCATTATATCTACTCCGTTACATTACACCTGCTCCGCCATATAGCATTACACCTACTCCGTTACATTACACCTGCTCCGCCATATAGTATTACACCTACTCCATTACATTACACCTGCTCCGCCATATAGCATTACACCTACTCCATCACATTAGACCTGCTCTGTCACATAGCATTACACCTACTCCGTCACATAGCATTCCACCTACTCCGTCACATAGCATTACACCTACTCCGTCACATAGCATTACTCCTAAACCGTCACATAGCATTACACCTACTCCGTCACATTAGACCTGCTGTCACATAGCATTACACCTACTCCGTCACATAGCATTACATCTATTCCGTCATATAGCATTACTCCTAAACCGTCACATAGCATTACACCTACTCCGTCACATTAGACCTGCTGTCACATAGCATTACACCTACTCCGTCACATAGCATTACTCCTAAACCGTCACATAGCATTACACCTGTGGTGTGGTGGATGTAATCCTAGACAAGGTTCTTGAAACTCCAGGGCACGAGCAGTAGATATATTCAATAAGTGTACAAGACTGGGCGTGATAGCCAACCGATACAGGAGCGATTACTAGGGACCCCGGACCGTAGGTAGGCCGAGGCCGATCTGAGGGAAATTAGCTAGCTAGGCAAGGGGAGTTGCTAGACATTCCTAGGACAATAAATGAGGTCTTCTAATTACTCGACTAGCGCGGTACAGACATAGTACATCGGGACATAGTAAATGAACATAGGCATTAGACATAAGCATAGACATCAGACATGCTATAATAATATGTAGTAATACAGACATGTGAATAAATGGTACAATGAATGGTAACAAGAGTCCTGGTGTCAGGCGTGTTCACATATCTTGGTATGTACATATCTATACACCTCCCTCCCCCTTTACGCTCGTAGTGCAATCTCGAGCGGCTACGGACTCTTTTTCCATGAGTCGGGGGGAGCGGCGAGGGACAATGGGAGGATCAACTGACGACCTTCGTTCCTGGTCTGGGCAAGGGGACACAGGGGACGGGGAGGAGGGTTCGTCACTAGAGGATGGCACTGGGCGGAGATGGCGTCTGTTTCGCCACCACACACGACCACTGGGGAGGCGGACTTGGTACGAACGAGGCTCGCCACGGCCCATGACGACCCCAACCTTGTCCCAGCGGTGTGACGTCGGGTCCTGGATTCGTACTTGCTGGCCGACGGCCAACCTGGGAAGGGGGCGGGCTTGGGCGTCATAGTGGCTTGTCACTTGGGCCATCCGGGCAGCCTCACGGCGGTCACACTCGTCCGCCTTGATCTGCCATTCATCTAAGAAGGACTGGGGGTGGGCAGGCACACAAGTACGAAGGGGGCGGCCATACAACACCTGGGCAGGAGAGCGTCCGGCAGGGGTAGGGGTGTTACGGAGTTCCAGTAGGCCCCTGTCGAACTCCTCGCAGTCCAGGTTCCCCGTCGGTGCTGTCTTGAGGATGAGGTATTTTACGGACTTTACCGCTGCCTCGGCGTGGCCATTCGCCTGCGGGTAATGAGGGGAGGTGACGATGTGGTGGACGCCCCAGCGTTCGGCGAAGCTCTTGAACTCGTGGCTATTGAACGGGGGCCCACCGTCGGTTCGGAGGCGGAGAGGCACTCCGACTTCCCGGAAGAAGCAACAAAACATCCGGATGACCCTGGAAGAGGTGGTGTCCCGACCACAGGGAACTACCACGGGCCATCCAGAGAGCCTGTCGGCGACCACCAGGAAAGACTTTCCGGCCACATTAAAGAAGTCGGCGGACACGGACTCAAAGGGCCGCTTTGGGAGGTCATTGCACAGGTACGGCTCTTGTTGCTGGCTGGGCTGGAGTTGCTGGCAAGGCTCACAGGCCTCAACCGTGCTCTTAATATCGGCGTCAATACCAGGCCAGAAGACGGTCTGACGGGCTCTGCGCCTGGTGGCTTCAACGCCGCGGTGGCTGTCATGGAGGCGGGATAAGGTGCGCCGGCGGAGGGCAGCGGGAACGACGATCCTGGGGCCGTACAACACCAGCTCTCCGTCCGCATAGAGGCTATCCCTTAGCTTCCAGAAGGGGAGGGCGGAGGCGTGAATGTCGTAGCGGTTGGTGGGGAATCCAGCGGAGACGTAGTCGAGGAGTTGGACGTATGCCGGGTCTTGAGCGGCGGCGATGCGAAGCTCCTGGAGAGTCCTATCGTCTTCGATGGAGGGCGTCGTCGTCGTCTTGTCAGCAAGAGAAGTGGCTGTGTGTGTCACTAAAGACCGAACGTGAGCAGCGGCCGTGGTACAGTCGACTTCATCTTCAGGTGTGGGGCGACTAACAGGGGCTCGGGAGAGGGCGTCTGGTATGCACAGAAGCTTCCCGGCGCGCCACACAGCTGTAAAGACGTAAGGGGCGGTCTTCTCTTTGAGACGTTGGAGGCGAGGATTTTCGATGGCGTCCAACGTGTAGTGATTAAGAATGGGTATGAGCGGGCGATGGTCCGTCATGAGGGTGAAATGCCCAAGGCCGAACAGGTAAAGGCGGCACTTGGCCATAGCCCAGGCGACTGCCAGCATCTCTAGTTCAATGGTGGCGTATCTGGTCTCCGTGTCCGTCAAAAACCTGGAGCCACACTGAACTAAGCACAGTCTACCCTGGCCGTGGTCTTGAAGGAGGGCATATCCGAGGCCGTATAGACGGGAGGCGTCGGTCTGGAGGACCACTGGTAAGGACGGGTCGAAGGGTGCCAGGACTGGTGGTGACAGCAACGCCTTCTTAACATTCCTGAACGCTAGGTCGTGGTCAGGAGTCCAGAGGAAAGAGCGCTTGGGGCTCATGAGGGGGCGTAGAGGTTGGGCTGATGTGGCGATTTTAGGGGAGAAGTCGGCCAGCTGATTTACCAGGCCCATAAATGAGCGAAGGTCGGTCAGGTTCGCTGGAGTAGGGAAGTCCCTGATGGCCTTGACCTTCTCCTCATCAGCTGAGATCCCCTCTGGCGAGATGTTGTAGCCGC